ACTCTCTTCAACAACCTTAGTCACAAGTCTGTTGAATAGATTTTAACATTTTAGATACACAGGATATCATGGAATTCAGGAAATCTGATTGCTAAGTCTTTTGAGTTGTGACAGGTGAGTTAAAGGTTCATTTTCTGGTTTCATAAGCAGAAACTCAACTTTAAATTTGTCTTTGTTTTCTGATATATGAATATTAGAAAAAAGTGTCTTTGGTGTTGTTACTATTGGCCCAAGATTCCTCTCTCTTAGGATTGCTAAAGAGGCCATGTTACGTTTATTCAAGCATCTATTCATGGTTTATAATTTCCCTGTTGGTTGTCAAAGTTCCATTTTGCAGGATGAAACCAAGAAAGGTGAACATCCCACAAGTACTTCTGTAACCCATGCCAAAGAGAGTTTCTGCTTTCACACTTTGGACAAACTATATATGAAGAGTTCTGAAACAATGCCTTTTAAATATCACTAAGAAGACCAAAATTTAACGAGTAAGAGTAATGGAAAGGAATTGTTTTGGGTAACCGTTTTCCAAGTTAGTAGTCATGACAGAGGATGGTGTGGTCTGTGTGGAATATGGGAAAATGCCCAATACTCAGATTTGGCCAACTTGACTCTTGGGTGTCTATGCAAAGGTGGTGCTTGGTCTAAAGACTAAAATTCTCTTCAGGCAGCTAAAACTTTCTGGAGATTATTGCTTATGAATACCCAGTGTTCTTTGCTATACCTCTTACCATTCTCAAGTAAGAGAGGGTCCTGAATGCATTGGCTCACCTGCCCAGAGGGAGGACTTGAGGTTGTGGCTTGTACTGTATTCCGTACCCACCATAGATGATTGCATGCATGTCCTGGTCTGGGACTGGGAATCCTTTCCTTTCTTTTCTTTTTCTCTTCCCTTCCCTTCCCTTCCCTTCCCTTCCCTTCCCTTCCCTTCCCTTCCCTTCCCTTCCCTTCCCTTTCCATTCCATTCCTTTCCTATCCTTTCCTTTCCTTTCTTTGCATTAATGGACAAATGGCCAACATGGAGTATTATCGCTCCAAAGGGAGCTTCAGAACTAATTCAGTACTGTATTTTATAGTTGATGTCATCAAAGACCCTCATTAGAAGCTATCTCCAGGACAGGAAGATGCCTTTTTTTTTTCTGAAGCAAATGGCAATGAGAGAGAGGGAAAAAAAAAACAGTAGCAACTAAAAGCAAAAACAAACCCTTATGTTCAATGTCCTTTCTTTTCCAGGCTCCCGGTTTTTGTTGGTTCTGTCTATTACTCCTTATACTTCAGTGTTGGGATCTACCTGGCCCTGCCTTTCAGCTTTGCTTCCAAATCTAGACCATTCCTGGTACTTATTACCCAGATGAAAATTCCTCTCTTGACTTCTGTTCCCTCTGAGTTTTTCTAGTAGGAGCAGCCATATGTCATCTGGAGAATTCGTGGAAGGGCTCTCTTCTTGAAGATGAGGTCTCTTCCGTGGAACTGTTAACCTGAGTTAACCTATTGCTCATGGGGCTGGAGATAGCCCACGTAGGCAGTTCTTATCTCTTGTTCCTAGCATACCTCTTATAAATAAAAAAAGAAAAGAAAATTTCTTATCACAAGACAAGCACCCTAATATAGGAAAGTCTATCTTAGACTGTTGTCCATGCCAGCAACATTCAGAAATGGAGGGAGACACCATAACCATGCCTCCTAAGGGCTGGCTACAGGGGTGACTGACCATGCCTGTTAGGGGGGGGTGAAGGTGAGGA